AGGATAGAAGGAGAATTGATGCCTTTGAGCTGTGGTGCTGGAGAAGAGTATTAAGGGTACTACGGACTGCTAGGAAAACAGATTCATCCTGGAAAGGGTTAAACCGGGAGGCTCCCTGGAGGCAAGGATTCTGAGGCTCCATCTAGCATACTTTGGACATGCTGTACGGAGGGACCGGTCCTTGGAGAAGGACATCATGCTTGGTAGGGTGGAGAGACAGCACAGGAGGGGAAGGCCCTCTATGAGGTGGATTGATTCAGTGACTGGGGTAATCGGGATGGGTGTGTCGGAGACAGTGCGATTGAGCACAGGACAGACCAGAGTTTAGGGTTGTTGTACACAGGGTTGCTATGAGTCACAAGTGACTCGATGGCACATAACAATAACACCACCACCACATTCATGAGAGTTACTGCTCTATTTAATTTCATTTTTCAGTAGTGTCTTTGCCTGGCTTTGCCTGCTTCACAGAACAACCTTAGAAGTATTCCATTTTTCCCTATGTTCTCAGTCCGAGCAGAACTGATGTCAGCTCCTCCCTAAATATCTGCTACACTTAATTCTCCAGTAAAGCTTTGAGCCAGGGTACTTTGTTGTTGCTATAAGTGGGATTTTCAAGACCTCCTCAATTTCTTCATTTGTTACAGATCTATTCAAATTTTCTATTTCAGCCTGTGTTAAGCAGTTGGTGTTTTCCTAGAAATATGCCCATTTCTCTTAGGCTTTAAAATTTGCTGGCACACTATGTTCCTTATTACATTTTTTTTTAACTCAGTTGATTATGCTATAATGTCACTTTGCCTGTGTGTTGTTTGCACTGCTTCATCATCTCCTTTGTTAATTTGGTCAGTGGTGTGTCAATTATTTTATTAATCCTCTCAAAGAGGACAATGCTAACTAAGTACTATCTACATGGGATCAACTTAACACCAGCAACTTAAAAGATCAGATGGGAACCTTATGGGACAATGGATTTATGTTACTGGAGGAGGAACAACTCAAGAACGGATAAGAAATGCTGCACAACTGAACCGATGCAATCAGTTCCCCTAAGTGGTACATGTGAAAATACGAGATGGTGCACGATTTGCTGTTCTTAGTCTCAACATCGACAAAGCCATCAAAGCCATCCACACAAAATAATGATGACCTCACCTTGTAGTAACGGAAATAGTCTCGTTCTTGCAATTTTTTAATCTTGGGGTAGATTTTATAGGTATTGAAGTTATCGATGCTGTCAATATCACACAAACAATCATCCAGGAGTCCAGTGACCTGGGAAAAATAATATTAAAAAGGTAAGTCATTGACATCTCAACCTTACCAAATACATATTAGTATATAATAAGATTCATTCTTCCAAATTGGTCAGTATTTTATGATTAAGATACATAATAGTAAAAATGTCAAATGAATGACTATGTGAAATATAAAGTAAATAAAGAATTATATAAAACACAATGTGCGTGAATGAAACACAATGTAAACAAATTCTTGTAAGCAAACCAATGGGGAAAGGGGGAGAAAAGAATAACATTATTATTATTATGAAAATTGTATGGTTTTCATATCATTAATCATTGTTTTATTCTTTCAAGTCATGTAGTTAATGAAAACTTAGGACAGTAGTGTGGCTAGGCTGTTGTAATTACTGTTAAACTTAAAGCAACTTCACTTGAAAATGTGTTGTTGTTGTTGTTATGTGGCGTCGAGTTGCCTGCGACTCATAGCGACCCTATGTACAACAGCCCTAAACTCCGCTCTGTCCTGTGCCAATCACACTGTCTCTGACACTCCCATCCCAATTAT